CAGAACGCGTATCTTTCAGATCGCCATAGCCACTGTTTGCATCTGTGAGCGGCAGGCAGTGTGTGTGTGTGTGTGCGCGCTGGGCAGGTGTCGAAACAATGTGTGGAGCGCAACTTAATTAGAATGTTGCCACATTTGTGTGTAGAGCCAGCAACAAAATCTCTCAAATAAAAATGTCAGAACAAGTTGAGGAGGCAATTTGTCAACCGGCAACCGGCTGCTAGACACGCGGCCGGATCCCGTCGCCCCATCCCCTTCCCAATGCCCCCACTTTGCATTCGAAATGCATTTTCTTGCATATGAGAAACCGAAAAAAACTGAGCAGAAACGAAAACAGAGGCAAAACAACACTCAACCGCCAGGCGACACAAATTTCCGTGAGCTCACAAATTTTTTGATTTTGGACCGGGCCCAGGCCCCCCACTTGGCCAACTAGTGGGTCGGTGGGCTTGTGGGCTGGTGTGTCCATGGATCCGTTCATGCGCAAGGTTTTTGATCGGGTCGGTTTTGAGTCAGTAGCAGCAACTGATCTATGGCCATTGGCCACCCGCTACCAGCGACAGCAGCAGCAGCCGGTGCCGCAGCCGCAGCAGCCGTGGGGTGCATTGCTCTTAAAATGGCTCAAAAGCCGTTGAACTGCTGGCTACTGCTTAGACTTCAACAGCCGGACCGGCGGCCTGTCTCTGCCTCAGTCTCCGGACCGTTGCTGCTGCTCAAAATGTTGTATGCTAATTCCAGCAGCCCGCAAAAACTCTAGACACCCAAGAACCTGGCTCTAAGAACACTTGGCCAAGACTCGACCCATCCATACCCCACATTCGATGGGACGTGGCCTTGAAGTGGGAAGGAAATGGGGAAACGAAGAGGTAACTGTCCCTTCATCATCACTAATCTACTCTTCTCTCCTCTGCGCTCCCCTCTGTGGGTCTGGTCATGCTCATGGTACCCTCTGACTGGGTGATACTTCTAAGTCCGGCTAAAAGACCTGAGCTACGGCTGAGACTGTGGCTGTGGCTGGGGCTGTAGTTGTAGTTGTCGCTGTGGCTACGGCTGTGGCCGTTGAAATCGAGAATGAAATGAAAATGTGACCAAATGTAAATTATTTTAATTGTATTGCCGCTGCTGCTGCTGTTGGTGCTGCTGTTGGTGCTGCTGTTGGTGCTGCTGTTCTTAGATTCTGGCAGCTACTGGAATCCACTGGCACGTTCTTTTGGCTGTGACTGTGACTGTGACGACGGCTGCTGTTGCTATTTCTATTGCTATTGCGCTGTGTTGGAGGGGTTAAATGAACGCTCGCTTGGTCTATGAAAGATGTCAAGGTATCTGTAAAATTTGTATTTGATTTCGTACGCCAATCACATCCACTTTGTACAAACAAACGAGCGCCAACACTGGAGCCGCGCAGCTCGAATACACAGACACACACAAATCACAAGTCGTCACAACACACATGCACATAAACACACAAAAAACATAAAGCAATCCCAAGCGACTAATTAGGCAATTGGACACCCGATGTACATACATACGTCTGATGGAGGTGGAGGAAGATCTGTCGCAGGGGAGGGGGGAGGAGTAGGAGCTTTCCAGCGCACACTCTTTTGGGTCATGTGTGGGTCTGTTGGTCTGCAGGCTGGTGGACGGGATCGGACTTTATCCCCGCCCCACTGTGTGTGTGTACATATGTATATGGCGGTGTCTTTTTTTTATTTCGTCCAGCTCGACAAATTCCACAATGGCATGGCATAGGGACAAATTAGCTGTCAGCTACACTCAGAGAAAAAACTGGAGTACTAAAGAATGGGGAAACATACACACCCATCCGTATTTCAATTAAATATTCGGTTTTTCAATACAAATCTAAAGAAAATAAATAGAATTCAAATAGTCGAATCTAAGTAAAAAACACTTTAATATATTCAATTTGTAGGAATTGATAATTAATCGAACTAAGAAAAATATATGTTTATTTCGATAATATATTAGTGTACAAATGTAGGTGAAATTAGTTTAGCTTTTGACAATATCCGCTCTCGGTGACAATATAATGGCATAAATATTCAATTCTCAGGGCTCTTTTTTTCTCTGGGTGTGTGGGAATCCGAGTGGGAAATAGCTGACAGCCGGTGAAAGGGCACTCTGGAATGAGTCTTGCGGTTCTGGTTCTGGGGCTCAACCTTGGAGATGCTCCATTAATGGCGCAAAATGATCGGACGCAGCACATTTTTTAGGGGGTAGCTTGAATTACTCGCACCATTCCATTCCGCTCGCAGGTTGTGTGCCATATACCACATGGCTCGACATACTAGAAGCGGCAATATCAGCAGCAACGCCACAAAAAAAGCCAATCAAACACACAGGCACATTCACATGAACATGCACAGGCACAGGCACATGAACAGGCACACGAGATGTTTACACTCGGGCATAAACATCATCAGCGAGAGCGCAGTGTGAAAATTGGGTTAAAAAATAAAGCACGCAAACTACCTTGACACATTTTCCCCGAAGCGGAGTGGAGTGGAGTGGAGTGGTCAATGGATGGTATGGCATGGAGTACGGCTTGGGGCTGGATGTGCGCTGGACTCTTTCGAAAGCACAAAGCAAACAGTGGAAGCGCAGAGGGGAAGCAGGAACATAGCCAGAGGTAGAGGTGGAGGTGGAGGTGGAGATGGAGGTGTGGTCTGGCCATCTATCCGGCATTCAGAGAGTCGAGCTGAGTGTCCCGTACCTCATATCAATAATCTGTTGCAACTGTAATAAAAATAGCTTTACGAAATATACGAGTATATATTTCAATGTGTGTCCGTCTGTCTCTATTTGGAAATGATAAGGGAACGCGAATACACGCCACGTGAGCTGTAGGCTCCGACCATACCCGTACCCACATCAATAGTTGCCCCCGATTCCAGTTCCAATTTCATTTCCAATACCATCCCAAAATTTCGTGTGCGGTCCGCTGATTATACGCAATATTGTATCAGTGCAAGTGCAAGTCATGCCCAGTGGTGGGTGGGGCGGAGGAAACTGCGTCTTGCGCAGCAATCAGCATGAGCCCTCTCCATTCCCATTCCCATTCCCATTTCCAATCCAATCTCCATTCTCTTTTTCATCTGCTAGAACCATCCTCGGGTGCCACCATTGCCACTGGGTTTATTGACCAGACGCGCGATCACATACTTGTACCAACGGGCCACTCGGCCACTTGGCAGGCCAACGATTGCGAAAAGGTTTAAAAATAAGTCAGAGGAGGGGGGCTGGGGCTGGTGCGGGGGCCCTGTATAGGCGGCGTTGACAGCCAGCATCCGCTCGTCGGTCGTCGCTCAGGTTCATGTCCTTTCGATAGGATATTGCCCTGGCAGGCCAATGATCTTGTCGTCTGTTGAACTCGCCTTTGGGCCTCAGGAGCATTGAGTGTCTAGATTGGTTGCAAGAGGCTGCTCTGCTCTGGACAGCAATAATAAAAAGGTTCGGCGACTGCCGCATTCGCACTCGCACTCGCCCTCGCCCTCGTACCCTGCCAAGTTCCATCTGCTATCCCGATGCTCCTCTGTAGCAGGCTGGCCCTTTGCCGAGAGATGCAGCGGCGGTTGCAGTTGCGGTTCATTGGCAGGGCAGACTGTTGGGGCTGTTGCCACTGCAACTGCCACTGCCGGCGGGTCATTAAAATGTAAAGGTAACTTCAAAGTTAAATGCTAAAGCTGTATCTGAGCTGGAAATGGAGCTCTAGAGTCGTTGCCATGGCGGTCGTACATCTTCTTACTGCTGCTGGTGCTGCCGGTCCTTTGTGCCGGTCGCATGGCGAGGAGGAGTCAATGGCCTGCGGGTCTATTTTAGCACATGCCATTGGCCCTGAACTTGTTTGCTGGCCTGGCCCCTTGTCCAGGCCTGTGACTCCACTCCACTCCACTCCACTCCACTTGCATAGTTCCATCTCCCATTGTCGGCCTGCCATGACTCAGTTCTGGATTCTGGAAATCCCTGCCGCTCCAGGGATCCCAAGGGATCGATCGAGCGTCGCGTTGCAGGTAACAGGTTCTCGAATTTTCGCAGGGAAAATCCCGTCATGACATTGAGGAAACAGAATAACATCCAGAAAGAAACGCTTGGGGACACTCTTTGAGGCAATCATTTCTGTGGGCATTTTCAAATCTTCTGATGAATGCCCTTGGAGATTTCGCTGGTAGGCTAGCTAGGAGAAAAGCTAATAAATTCAGCAGCAGCAAGAAATTCGAAAGAACAAAAACGCAAATTTCGCAGAAATAGACGATGGCCGATGGAAAGGGAGCAGTGACAGGGGTAGCCGCAGCCGCAGCCAATGGAATAAATGTATCTTTCCAAATCGAATCGGCCTTAATATGCATATATTTGTACCCACATACCTATGTCTGTCTGACTGATTGCCTGAGGTGTGTGCTGTGTGTCCCATCTATATGCATGTTCTCATGAGGACTGGGGAAAACCCGATATCTACCCGATCTACCCGAAGATGATCGTAAGTAAAGGCCAGCGGTCTACTACAGGCCAGAAGGGCTGCTGAATACCCTCTGTTAGCAGGTCTAAGCCGGAGAGATCATCACTTCCGCCGCTATAGTCCGATTCCGATTCCAAATCGGATTCCAAATCCGATTCAGCGTGTGTGCGACATCTGTTGGGTGTAATGTATGTGCATCTGATTTCCCAGCATTGATTTTATTTTCAAATTTTACTTTCGCTCCCTGGAAGATCCCATAACATCCCGCCCGCCGAACCTTTCTATCGCCGCCTATCCCGCAGCGAACCCGAATGGAACTCTGGACTGACTGTTTTGTTATTGTCAGATATTGCTGATGTTGCCGGCGATGGCCTTCGCCGGTTTCTCCGTTGCTCCGTTGCTCCGTTCCTCCTTTCCTTCGTTCCTCTGTGTTTCTTTGGTTCCTCTGTTCCTCGTTGCTGACGCAGACGCAGACGTTTGCATTTCTGGCCGAGACTCGTTTCAAATTCTAAAGAAATTCCAGTAAATGATGAGCATTGCTGGCGACTGGACGTTTCGTGGATTCGAGAGGGATTGAGCGCCACGATTGAACCACCTCTTCCTGTTGGAGAGCAAGTGAAAACAAAAGTGATCCACGATGTCGGCGTCCTTCGCCACCGCCTCCGCCTCCGTCTTCGACTGGCTGCCCCTGTCGGGACACAGTTTTTGCCTGCTGGTGGTGCCCGGGCTGCTTATCCTGATCATCCTCTGGCTGTGCGACCACCAGTACGACAGAGTACTAGGACGTCCGCCCCCAGGGCCCTGGGGTCTGCCGTGGCTGGGCTACCTGCTCTTCCTAAGCCGCCGGGCACCCCACAAATCGCTGCAGGCTTTGGCCCGCCGCTACGGGGGCATCTATCAACTGCGCATGGGCAGCGTAAAGGCAGTGATACTCTCGGACGTGACCCTGGTCCGGGAGTTCTTCCGCCACGAGGTGATGGCGGCTCGGGCGCCGCTCTACCTCACACACGGCATCATGGGCGGATATGGTAAGGATATGGATATGAACATCTGCCTTGCGCTTGACTTTGACCAACGTCTGACTGTTCTGCAGGCATCATCTGCGCCGCGGGTCCCATTTGGAAACATCAGCGTCGAGAGCTTATCGATTGGCTGAAGGCATTGGGGATGACGCGGCGACCGGGAGAGACGCGGAGCCGTCTCGAGCAGCGGATCGGGAGGGGTGTGGACGAGTGTGTGCAGGTGAGTGCCTAAGCCTAAGAGTGACTAAGCGGCCAGTTCCTCGAGTGTAGAAGGCGAATGTCCAGGTCCTTCCCCTGGGCACAGTGAGATCGATCAATTATTCTGTGTTGTGTGTTCTTTCGGCGGGGAATGTGTAAATGTGAATGCCAAAAGAATGAATGAGTGAATACTCACTTTCTGCTGTGGCTATCACTTGCTAATTTCTTGCGTGCTTTTTTGCTTCTCCCGCTTTCCATTTGTTTATTCCTTCATTCGCTTCTTCTTTCCCTTTCGCTTTCTGACTCTGCCTCTCCATCAAAGCTGTACGAAACGGATGCGGATGTGAGTCCTTCGTCGGAGTTCGACCCGGTGCCCGCCCTCCAGCACACGCTTGGGAATATCATCAACGATCTGGTCTTCGGTGTCACCTACGAGCGGCAGGACCCCGATTGGCTGTACCTGCAACGACTGCAGGAGGAGGGGGTCAAACTGATCGGCGTCTCGGGCGTGGTCAACTTCCTGCCCTGGCTGCGAAGCCTGCCGTGGAATCGGCGCAACATATGCTTCTTGATGGAAGGCAAGTCCAGGACGCACGCCATCTACGACCGCATCGTCGAGAGTTGCGAGAATAAGCTTAAAGAGCTGCAAGAGCAATATCAGGAGAAGCAGCGCCAGCGCCAACAGCAGCAGGATCTACAGCAGTACCAACAGCAGAACCCACAGCAGGATCCAGAGCCTGAATCTGGATCGGAGCAGAGTCTGCAGCAGAGCCCAGAACAAAAAGAGGAGAAGCCAGTAGCCGCAGCAGCAGCAGCACAAGAAGTGCCACATGAACAAGTTCCAGCAAAGAAGGAAGATCAAGATCCGAATCAGCACGCAGAACAGAACCAAGTAGGGGACCGGGTCACCGAGCATGAACAGAAGCAAGGCCCTGAGCAAGAAGAGGATCAGAAGGGGGAGGAGGAGGACGACGACGACGACGACGACGACGTGTATGAACCTACTTGTATCCTGGAGCATTTTCTTATCAACCGAGTGCCCTTTTCGGAGCTATACTGCGACGAGCAGCTGCGCCATCTCCTCGCCGACCTCTTCGGCGCCGGTGTGGACACCTCCCTCGCCACGCTCCGCTGGTTCCTGCTCTACATGGCCCGCGAGCAGAGCTCCCAGCGCCGTCTGCACGAGCTACTCCTTCCCCTAAGTGCCACGCCCACACTGGAGGAGCTGCAGCCGCTGGCCTTCCTCCGGGCCTGTATCTCGGAGGTGCAGCGTATACGCAGCGTGGTGCCGCTAGGCATTCCGCACGGAGCCGAGCGGGACTTCACTGTGGGAAAGTACCGAATCGCGGCCGGCAGCATGATCGTCTCACTTCAGTGGGCCATTCACATGGACCCGGCGGTGTGGCCGGAGCCGGAGCAGTTCCGTCCGGATCGCTTTCTCAATGCCGAAGGACACTACTCGGCGCCGCCCCAGTTTATCCCCTTCCAGACGGGCAAGCGCATGTGTCCTGGCGATGAGCTGGCCCGCATGATGCTAACCCTTTTCGCTGGTCGCATCCTGAGACGCTTTCACGTGGAGATGGTCCCCGGCTGCGATGCGGACATGGAAGGCGAGTGCGGCATCACCTTGGCACCCGCCCCCTACAAGCTGCGCTTCACGAAGCTTCCGCCCATGGAATTGCAAGTGGAGGAGCAGCCACTGGTACAGGCCTAGGGCTAGGCGAGAGTGAGATGGAGTGATGGCTCTTTTTCCCTTTTATGCATACATATTAGTGTGTTTTATTTTGTATTTAGAATCTTTTGAAATATATTTGCTAATTGGTGATGTTATCCTTCTTTATCAATGTTTTCTTTTCATTAAAATACTATAAGAAACCAGGGAACAATCATCAAGGACCGCAGAATCATTCCCTTGGAATGCATTCCCTTGCAGCAGAATTAAATGCTCTGGGGATACAATATTATAGGAAAGAATACAAAATGTATAAATATTCTACTAATGGGGCTCGGGAATGTTGTTCACGAATTAATGTCCGCAAATTTGGGGAGTTGGGATTTTTAGCATTGCATATTTTCATATTAAAATAAAATAGAGACGCTTTGTTTTGCTTGCTAAAAATTCAATTATTATCAGAGAAGAATATGCATAATAAGGATAAAGAATGTTACTCAGGGATGTGAAATTTCTTCGAATTTTCCGTTTTACTTTTCTTCCCATTTCCCAACAGTTTCCGATCTGTGTTCTGTTGTGAGAACACAGAACGTTTCTGGACCGAATAATGGCTTTTGTGAGCCTCTTTTGAAAAGGTTAAAGCTTCTGTGTTTCTTCTCAGCTTTCATTGAAAGATAAAATTGTTTATAGTATAATTGTATTTTATTTGATTTATTTTCGAATTGTTTCCTATTTTGTTGTGAGCTTGTAAGACTAAACCACAGTTTGTTTTGTTGTTTGGACATTAAGCTAGGACTAATGCTATGAAATAAACAAGAACCTTAGCTAACCCATCAGCTAAGGTTGCCTAAGCCAGCTGGACGACAGCAAAACATAGCAATAGCAATAGCATACAAATAATAATAATAATAATAATAATATTAATTAATATTAATTAATAATAATAATAAAAAAACATTAACGATAGTGGATCGTAACTAAGGTATTCATTAGGGGGTAGAATTACAATTAATTGAACACAGCTTCTTGGGGGTGAAAGAATAGAATTGGTTGCAGTCGTCGATCTGATGGTGGGTGCATCAGGGCATCCGGGCACTTCCGGGCGCCTTCCTTCTCTTCTGCATGGACACGCGAGTATCCTTCGAGTGGCTTCCTGCCACACGGGGGAGGCGGGTCACGTCGTGAAGACAGATTACTAGCTAATTTATACGGCAATAGCTATAGTCATCGATGGAAGCGGCTTAACGTGCTTCCCGTGGGTGGCATTTGCTTTTGCGTTTTGTGTGTGTGTTTTGTGGTTTTTTTTATATAGGAACAAAACCGTGCTCTTCATCCAGGCCGATCCAAGCCGATCCAAGCCGATCCAGATCGCGCGCCCAATCAGTTGGAGCCTACGTTGCGCATATGGTGGGGATCGGTGGCAGTGGGTGCCAGGGGGCGACGCTTGAGGCACACTTTGAATGCCTCCGGCGTGATGGTGGCCCCCACGTTGCCCTTGAGACTGGGCAGCGGCTGGCCCTCGGGCAGGGCAATGTCGAAACAGTGCATGAACGAGGCGAAAAACAGGAAAAGCTCCATCTTGGCCAGAACATCGCCCAGGCACATCCGCCGTCCGACTCCGAACGGTATGAAGTACTCTGGCTTGCGCACCTTGCCCTCTGTGTCGATGAACCGCGAGGGGCGGAACTCCTCGGGCTTCTCCCACAGATTGGGGTCCATGTGGACACTGTTGATCAAGGGAATGACATGGGAGCCGGCCGGTATGGTGTAGCCATTCAATTCTACATCTCTGTAAAGCGAATCAAGTAGAGGAAAAGGGAGATTGTGATTAGTAGGAGCGTGCCACAAATGCCAGCTGATAATCGCTGGTGGTTGCTGATTACCAGCAAAGCAACCACACGCGAGCTATGAGGGGCTGGAGGCTGGACTAGGGTATGGACTGGGACTGGGGCTGGGGCTGGGGCTGCGGCTGGGGGCCTACAGTCTAATCTGCTAAGCCAAGTGCGTGCCCACAAAGTGGGCCACTGCGCCACTGGTGGCCACTGGTGATGGAAACGAAGGGGGACAATGAAAATTCCGCATTGAATGAAAAGCCACGACAATGAATGGCAATCGCATGGCATAGCGTAGATCAGAGATCTTGGTGTGAATGAACGGACTTCGCGTAAGTGCGTAAGCATTTCCAAGGGGCTGTCGATGCTTTTATATTGTGAATTGGATTGGGAACTGGGGATTGGGGATTGGGGACTGGGGATTGGGGACTGGGGGTTGGGGGTTGGAGAGCTTGAGTGCTTACCTTGTGGGTGAGTGGGTTGTGGCCAACGGCACAATGCTGGAGCGGCGCATCGACTCGAGGATGGTGGACTCGGTCACGGGCAGGTACTGAAGGTCCTCGATGGTGGGCAGGCGGTGGCGTCCGACCACCTGGTCCAGCTCGTCCTGGACGCGACGCATCTCCTTGGGATTGCGTAGCATGAAGACGTTGATCCAGAGCAGGGTGGTCTTGATGGTCTCCATGCCAGCTGAGAAGAGGTCGATGATCACCTGGACAAGTTGCTCCTCTGCAAGGAAACGAACAAGGATATGCGTGAAAGGATGCTCAGGAGGGTCAGGGCATTGCACGGCGGGAGTTGTTCTTCTGAGACAGGGATTCTTGGCTGGGTCTGGATCTGGCACTCACCGTGATTCTTGCCATCGAAAAGCTCAGCGTCGGTGCCCTCGGCCTTGGCCTTCTCGATCTCGCATAGGTAGTAGTCGACCAGATCTCGGACGTTGTGCGGATCGAAGCTGCGTTTGTGGTCATCGATCACGTCCTGGTAGAACCGCTGCATCTCGGCCCGGTTCTGGGCAATCTTGTTCTTCGCCGTCGAGATGCTGGGGAAGCACTGCATGGTGGGTATGTAGTCCACCGTGTGGATCTCCCCGAACAGTCGCATGCCCTCCTCGATCAGGAAATTGAAGCGCCTGAACTTTGGGTCGTCAATGCTGAACCGTGTGGACATCATCAGGCTGCAGATCACGTTACTCACGGCCACTGAGATTACGGGCGACAGATCAATCGGCTGACCGTCACTCGCGTGCAGATGCCCGATGAACTCGTGCACTTCCGTCTATACGAAGCAAGGAGAAGGAGAAGGGAGAAGCAGAAGGGTTGCGGGGATCTTTAGAGATTTCTGTTCTGCTCGCCAGGGGGGAGGCTACGGGTATCCTGTGGGGGAGTGCAGGGGTCGGGAGGTACACTCACCATGATGCGCTTCTGCATTTGCTGCTTGCCATTGCCCATGTAGGTCATGCCGAACTGCCGGAGCTTGTCGTGCAGAAAGCGGCGCTGGTCCTTCCACAGCTTCCCAGTGCTGTTGATGATGCCTACGCGCAGAAAAGGACGGAAAGAGAGGAAGGTTGAGGCGGTGAGTGATTGTCTTATGATCGGTTTGGGAGGAGGCGGCACAGAAGAGCGCTTATCTTTCTTTTTCTTAATTTGTGTAATTTTTGTCGTGTCGTGTTTTATTATCATTTAATTGAGGTAGGCTCTTTCTCTCTGCTCTGCTCTCCCCTCTGCTGCTACCGGGGGTGGGGAGGAGGATGGGTCGTAATGGTTGCCCTACTTTTTGAGTATTGTTTGGGTTCAAGCAAAACGAAATACCAGAAAAGAAATCCCATCCCAGCCGGAGATCAATACATAATGAACAACAAAAACACTCAAGCAAACCCAAAAAAACAAAAAACACAGCCCAATACAAAATACAAAAATTAAACAAAAAGAAAAATGGTTATATGGCTATATGGTTATATGGGGAATCGGCAACCATAAGGGAAAAATTCTGCAATGCATTATCATTGGAATAAAATAAGTGCAGCTTAAGCTGCAAAACGAAACAAAAAAAATACAAAACAAAAATACAAAAAGGGAAAGAGTCGAAAACGAAATCAAAATACAAAATTAAAAATTACAAATAAAAGCCGAAAAGAAGAGAGACAGAAAAGAAAGACAAAATAAAATCAAGTAAACGGCCCCAACAAAGAAATGCACGCGGAATTTCTTCGGTTAATCAAGTATTAAACATTTTGTGGTATTATTATTTTACAATTTTCGACCTGCTGTTTCGTTGTTTCACTGTTTCGCTGTTTCGGCTGTGGCTGTGGCACTTTCGAGCTTAATTGCACCTTCACTTTGTGGCAGAGGCAGAGGGCCCCAAGTCTTCTTCTTCCTGATGGAAGAGGCTGTAAGCCTCAACTAAAGGTGCATATCCCCATCATCTCATATGTAGTCTGTAGTCTGTAGTCGGGATTCTTTATGTAGTATGTGGTATGTAGTATAGCAGTCGTAAAGGTTCAGCTCGAAGGGACTCATTTCCACAATACGCGAACGAGCACTCGTAAAATAAGGTAGGTGCCGCCTTATATCCGCTTATATCGCTTATATCAGCGAAAGAGTGTAGCCCAAAGGTCGCCCGGGATTTAGGGCCTTCTGATTTTCGATCAATCAGATTAAACAGCTCGATTTCTGTATTTCTCATTCCCCCTTGTATCTGTATCTGTATCTGAGTCTGAGGTCTTAAGTCCTTTAGATTTTGTGTGTTTAACACTCACCATAACCGTTGAGGGTTTGCATGAACGGAGTGTCCGGTCGTCCTGTGAATTCCTCACGCCGGAAGCACTCGCGGATCATCTTGTAGTCGCTCATGACGACGGTCAGCTGGCTGCCCAGACGGGTGGAGAAGAGCGATCCGTACTGCTTGGCCAGCTCCATGAAGCGGGTGTGCTTCTCGTTGCCCATGAAGAGCAGGTAGCCGATGACGGGGAGTCCCCAAGGGCCGGGAGGGAGCTTGCGTAGCTCGCGGTAGTGCCGCAGCATCCACTGGAGCAGGCTGACCAAAGCAAGGAAGCCGAGGAAGACCATCAACAGGTGCTGGGCGCCGGCGTCTTGCTGCTGGACCTGCAGCTGCCGCAGCAGAAACTTGATCAGATACGAGTCGGCCAGCATCTTGTCGCCTCTGTAGCCTCTGGCTTGGACTTGACTGGACGAACGATTTCACGTTGATCGATCTCACACGGAGATCCTAGGGTCCTGGGATCTTGGCTTTGGTGCGCGATCTTGTTCTCGATCTCGAGGATTGCAGTGAGTGCGGTCGGGCGGCGGGCGTTCAAGTGTCTTTTATTTGTTGCACTGCTCGGCCATTTGTCTGTCTATCACTTTGTATTTTACTTGCGACTTGGCACTTAAAAAAATGTTTCTCAAGTAATGTCTGGGCCAAAAAAAATTTATAATTAAATTTTCTTTTCTTTTTGGGAATCTTTGGAATCGCAATATATGAATTGCTTTGGTGGTGTTGAAAACAAAAAATTGCTGCGTGCTCGGGGCGCTGGTCGGAGACGGAGACCCGGAGACGATTTCGCGTCGAGCGTTTATAAATTTCGACTAATGGCTCGACCGTATGTCCTTGCCACTTTTATAACAATTCGAGCCCGCTTCGAGCGAGCGGCAGAGCGCCGAACGAATGATCGACGGCGGCGGCGCGGCTCGGTCTCGGGCTCTGTCTCGCGGCTCGGGCTCGGCTTCAAACCCCAAACCCCAAGCGCCTTTGTTGTTTTCGTTGTCCGCGCGGCCGAGATATTGAAATATTGAGGCATGCACAGTCCCTATACCCACCAATATCACCACCGCCGTCGCTGATCGCTGATCGCTGCTGGCGTCGCTGTCGTCGTTGGCGTTGTTGATTGGGATTTTGAGTGGGATTCTTATGTTTTGAGTGCTATGACTATTTGTATTGGGACGCATAGTCATCACACTCAATTTGAGTGAGACAGCAAAAGAGAGGCCGAATGCTCAGTTTTGCGTTTCATGGAATGACTTCGAGAAACCGAATTGAGCCGAGAGAAAACGAAGCTTGAGCATCGCTGCTGGCGTCGCTGTCGTCGCTGACATCGACAGAACTCCAAACTTGAAGAAGCCCCAACGCAGGCTAAGCAGCAGCAGCCGCAGCGGCAACGGCAAAGACAGCGGCCACAGAAACAGCAGCTGGCGCTCCGCTCCCGCTCCGGGCTCCACCCGTCTGTCTATCCTCTGCTGCTGCTACAGCTTCAATTTCACCGCCCTGCCCCCACCATATCAAAGCCCACCTCACCTCACCTCCCCGTACCGCCCACCTCCCGATGCCAACATCGTGCTCATGTCAGCCTGAGAGAAGGCTCTCTTCTATCCGACCCCCGGTTTCCCACCATCCACCTCCCCGTGCTTGAACCGTTGATGCTGGCCCCCTCCCTCCCCCATCCACTCGCTGGCTGATTTTGGGCTCTGCAGACGAAGCAGCGCCAACGGTTCAACAAGTTTCCAAGCATCGAGCCGCAGGCAACATGCTTGAGCCAACATGTTTGAGAGACGACGCTACACATGCTCCGATCTTTTGCCCGCGCTCTTTCCACTCTCACTCTCTCTTTCTCTTCCAGCCCATCGCTGACTTATCAATGAAACGAATGACTCCGATAAGACGGAGAAGACTCACTTTCAACACTTGCACTCCACACTGCACCTGCTCTTGCTCTTGGCCGATTCGATTCGTTCTAATCTGATCTGATCCGATCCGATCTGATCTGGATTGAATTTTGGCGTCCAGTGGTGAATTGACTTCTTTATAAATTGTCGCGGGCCACAAGGCGGAAGCTGCTGCACTCGTTCATTCTGTGGATGTCTCACCAAAAGACTGTCTGCAGCTCATTGTTGTTGTGGCTTCTGTTGATCTGTTGTCGGAATCGAACACACAGAGAATTCCGATGCAAAATTTGCATTTTGGGTCAATAGCGAAGCCTTCATCGAGTTATCTAAGATCTAGAGCGGAGACTCTTCTTCGGTGCGCTTGAAAATAACTTGCAAACTGGGATCCGATCGGCAGGTTAGGGCTGTACGTGGACTCCACTCCCCTACACGCAATCAAATCAATTAAAATTGGTGCTGATGCTGGGGCTGGGGCTGATGCTGAAGCTATGGCTCTGATCTGACTCTGACGTCAAATGCGTAACGCATTAAAGCTCAAAACGTAACTAATAATCTGAAACAAACAACATCCCAGTCCCCCCTAGTCCGCTGCACAGTCCCATCGAAGAATCGAAAGATCTTATTTTCGAAATTGAAATTAAAATGCATGCATTTGTTATCAGTTCTGCAGAAGTTTCTGTTGCTTCGATTTGGATTTTATTTTGGTTCGGATTGGGTTTAAATATTCATCTGCGAAGCCAAGAGCAAAAGAAACAACCAGAGCGATAAAGATGCCGGTTCTTTTGGCTAAAGGACAAGGTCCAACCCTCAGCATTGACGTCGAAATACGGAAAATACGCACAGAAAAAAGCGGTACAGCCAACAGGCCAAGAAATTTCGAAATATTTGTACGAATATGCATATGAAAATGTTGGCATTGGAATTGGATTGGACAAGAGATTGGACAACAACACATGACAAGGCAAGACAAGACCATTATCGGAATGAAAATGATGTTGCGAAGGTCGTGGTCGTGTCTCTCTGGAAGCCCTAGAAATTTCTGTGCCTTTGGCCCCATTCTCAAACTCTCAAGAGAAATCGGAGGCGGAGGCAGAGTCAGAGGCAGAGGCAAAGCTAAGATTGGATCGAAGATTGGTTGCTTGGGCATCAGTAATCGAAAGGTACATAATTATGAGATCACTGTATCTTGCATATTACAAAATTCCAACACCTTTTTGAGAATGTTGATTCAGTACGTTGTCAGTGGATCAATTGTGTTCCAGAATTCAAATACTGACTTCCAAGTAGCATAGGCTGAATGCACAGCTATGATCCGGTTGTGGTTGCGGACTGGTCGCAATATCCAGAAAAATTTCAACAAAATATTTATGCAAATTGCAACAGATTATACTTTTTGTATGGGTTCTGTTGTTGGTTCTGTTCTGAACAATTTATATACTTTTCGCATCGCCTTTGAATGCGGCCAATGAACTAATTTGCATCTGCTAATATTTTTTGTATTTTCGTTAGAATGCCCATCATTGGCACCGGTCATCGGTCATTGGGCATCGAGCATAGCGAAATAATGCTCGGAGAGGGAGAGGAGATGCTTCGATACTTCCAGATCGGAGTTCGTTAGAAAGAAGTCAGTGATCGCCAGAGAAGTCTTGGGGCTCACAGCTTGGCCTGTCGAGAATCGCAGTCCCAAATGTGAGCTGCTAGTATCAAGGCCAACACGAGCCAAAATATGCCGTCCATATTCCATTTGGATATTGTGGAAGGAGCGGATAGGGAACGTAGCCCAGAGGGAAGGGCAATGGCTGCAGCCGAACCAGAGACCAGAGATACAGGTACAGATACAAATACAGATACAAGCTGGGATCGAGATTGTGAGATACAGTCATTGAACTCGATCTCCAGTTACAGCCTAGGACACTTCAAGTGGCTCAGGCCAGAACATCAGTCGGAGATGCATCCGCAGCAACAGCCGCAGTCGTAGTAGAGCTAAAATATTGCCTAGGAAATCAAAAACAAAGCACTTGAAACAGAGACAATGGCCCAGGAGGTCAATGACACGGGGGAAACAGGACCTGTCCACTCAGCAGCGCTCAGCGGAGTAAGGATTAACGAACAGAGCAGAGAAATGAAAAACGAGAACAGGAAAATTGTTTCATATCATGCCTCGTGCTCTCTCTCTCCATGGCCTTGAGTGCGGTCAATGGCGCTGGGTTTGACTCCGAAGAAGTTTCCAGGAACTGCTGCCGAAAGGCTAATGACTGCTAGGCGAGATGCCGCAGAGATGCGCAATGCGAGAGGCGAAACTCGGTTGAGATGGTGTCGGAGGTGGAGGTGGAGGTGGAGCCAGACGCAGGCAAGCAGCAACAGGCAGCATGCAGCACTCGTCAGGCATCAGGCGGCAGGCGGCAGCAGTAGTTTCCATGGGCACTGGTCTGGGCGTACAGTCACGAAATGCCTGGGCCTGGGCTTGGGTTTGGGTTTGGGTCTACGTCAAGGATATGACTCAGTGCAGAAATATGTATAAAATCAGGAAATCTGAAGACTGCTCTAGTGATGGCAGGGCACCAGAGTAGGTCTGGAATGCGGTGCTGCGGTGATGCGGAGCCTGCAAGCAGATAAACGGCGAGTGCGTGCTGTGCTTCCGTTCCGTTCCAGTCACCAGTCATCGGTTCGAGGAATCGTCGTGGGCAATTCCCACTACTGCTATCGACTGACTGGTTTGGCGCTCTGGCTGTCGTTCCCTGAGGCACTCGACGCGTGCACTCGCACTCGCTGCACGCAGGAGTCGAAAATAAGAAAAATCATCATTTGATCATCGTTTGTGGGGCCACACTTTCGATTGATAACGAGACTTGCTCACTTTCTGTCTCTAAGTACGCAATTTTTGATTTAATTTGATATGCATATATGTACATGTGTATGTATGTGCTATAAATAACGTGATTTCACTGCTGTCACCTCCCCTATCCCCCTTGTGGCGCAGCCAGCGATTGTGAACGCAATTATTTCGTTATTCGTATTCCAATGCTGATTACATTTCTGTGCACTGTTCTGTGTGGCGCATTCCGACAAAGCGGCATACTCTTCTTTGCGATTGAAATCTCCAGCCCTTCTCCAGGGGGTCTCCCTTGCCTCCTTGAAGCATCGAAATCGAGTGGAAGGGTGGGATGGGATCCCCAACCAAAAACGGAGCCTTCTATGCGCCGCGCTGCCTGAAATTGGATGGCGGAGAGAGTATCGCCTCTTCGCTATCGGCTGTCTATCGCCTATGCACACGCGTTGCTTGTTGTGTTCCTTCCCACTCGTGATGCAATATTTAGAATTGTTTTGCCCCCTCGCCCCTCGCCCCACCCACCTTCCGCTGCTGTCCGCGCTGTTTTAGTGCGCGGCGCGACCTTGGGCAGCCGAACAAAGCAGCATTCTATACTTAAGCACAAAACGCAATAAATAACAAATTTGCCGCAGCACCAACACCAGAACAAGCACCGGCATCAGCCAAAAAATACCCGGCATTAACTACCAAAACTTGATTGGGATGCGAACGGGATGGGACTCGAGATGGGGGAATGGGGATTGACGAATATCCCCACATGCCAATTAATTGCAATCCATCCCAGAGAGAGCTTAGAGTAGTTTCAGTACGGAAATAGCCAAACAATAGGCATTTCGATTATTAAGGGATACGATACTCATTATTCGCCAATTAATTCCATATGTATGCAGGAATTGCTCGTTAATGCAGCTAATGAATATTTGGGCGTGGACGTGGGCGTGGGCGTGGGCGTGGGCGTGGGAAGCGCAGTTTAGAGCAGGACGAAAGACCTGGCATATGTAATTAATAGAGATTTGTATTCATGTTTTATGATTTATGATTACCTAAACAAAATGCAGCTTAACGACAGTACAGGACGGACAGGACAAACATTGGCATATTTTATTTATCGTA